ATGAGGATTATGTCACAGATAAAACCCTGGTGTGTTAAACAGCTGAGCGTTATGAGTTGTAGGCCACACCGCTTTGGTCTTCAACCCCCGCTGCATGAACTGTTAGCATAACAACTTGGCAGATCAAGTTGTATGATGTGAAATGACAAAGAAATCTATAAAAGGGGCTCCACTGGGAACAGAAACCTGAAAAGGAGTCGAGTTTACCATCTCATTTAGCAATATGAGAAAGTCCAGATAAGGGTCTCAGTTCTTTGTAAGCTACTGATTGGTTAATTTAAAGCATTTGAGAAAATGAAGGCACGCCATTGGATGTATTTGTAAGGGAACACCCCAATTAACAAGTTTTGGTGTGAAAGAGAGTGTCTCTCTCCCACTATTAATCCCACTAACGCCAACACTATTAGAGTCGCGTACTGACATGGGCTGAAAGAATAGAACGTTTTGGAAGTCATTTAAGAACAATATTTCCCCAGATTGTTCAGAGGAATGGGACAAAATTTTAACAAAACTTTTGCGAGAAGCTTGTGGAACGGTAACCAAGACATTTGAGTCAAGTCATACAGTTTAAAAGGTAATTTTACATAGTTTAATTTCTAGTACTTAGCTTATCAAACTAATGTTTATTTTTTTTGAAAGCAGAAAAAGCTTAGTCTGATAGTGAGAAATGCATGCAATGAGAAAATATGGTTTTGTGTCTTTCTACACAGCAGATGAAAATGTGTAAATATTTATATTTATAGTTTAAACTGTACACAGAAAATATACCAAAGTAATGTGCAGCTGTTCATTTTCTGTATGAAGTGCATGCTGACAAAATGGGCATGCAAACTGGCCAAGAGACGAAATGACGCGGAGCTCTCGCTGTCTAACTAGTATTCCAATCTGTATTTATTTTAGCTAAGATATATATTATAAATACTTAAAAGCTTTGTCTCTTTTTTTCCCCCCAGTCCACAATCATTTTGGAATCAAGAATAAAACAGAGTTATCTAATTCATTTTAGGCAAAGGATAGCAGCAAGGTTAGTAAATTTTACGAAGCTAAAATCATTGGATCCATCATCAGCTGTGGTCCAGTCTAATCAGCTTTCTAGCATTAATTCTCTCCACCATCGTTAATAACAACAGGTCTGTGAGTGTGCTGTGGGCGGGGCTTGCGCAAGAGACTGAACAGTCTGTACACAACAGCAGTGTGTTTGGAGCAGATGTCACAGCAGCTGCGTCACTAAACACGAGAGACGTGTTTTGCTTCTTATAATTTTTAAGCATCTGAAGCTCTGAACCAGCTCTCCTTTTCCACCACCTGTGGTGCTCACATACAGGTAACTTCGTGAAATGCCCATGCCAGTGTGTATAAAAGAAACTGTGCGTAGCTCCTCTGTCTGGCTCTGTGTCATCTCATTCATTCATGGAAAAACAACTATGTAGCAATGAATCTACCTGGCATGCAACCAATTGAGACTATTTATGTTCTATGCAGAACACAAGAAACCTTAAGTGAAACATGACCAAGCACACTGATTTTCTGTCATAAAAACTCAGTTATTAATGCCAAAACTTTGCAGAATGACAATTTATCTCTGATACTTGATGTGCCTTGAAAGCTTTTGCTAACTACAGTACTGCTAACTAACTTAAGACTGTGCTAATTGGTCTGGCTGGAGCTGATAAACCAGAGGCCATGCTGTGGCAACACTACAGCTCTATGCTGCGCAAAGAAATTACTGTTTAAAAATTTCCATAGTGTGCAAAATCAAGTGAGTTTGCTGGTACTTAACTCAGCTGGCCAATAAAAGTGGTAATATGAGCAGAGATTAATTGCCTGTGAAATAGAGGTACTTAAACTATTTTATCTCAGTTTACCTTTTTGATTATTGACAAAAACAACTTTTTTTGCACAACTTACTGTCAAAAGAAGCCCCTAGGCCACAGTCTGAAAGGTCCTGTGTGATTTTTATGCAAGTCACTGATTGTCTTTTGCATTTTTTAAAGAGGAATTGGGTCTAAAATTTGAGTGTATAAGATGACAGTAAATGTGAGGCGTGCAGCTGATGAGCTAATACAAAAGCCAAAGTTTTAGTGGTTTTTTTCTTAAGCTGCTAAATGCTCTCTATCAAGTCAGGCTCAGACACAGACTGTATTGCATTTTCCTCTGAATAGATGTGAGGAAACTTTTAGCAAATAATTTTATTCAACTTCTGATGGGATAATGCATTATGTGCTTGCCCTGATGTGCAGACTTCATACAGTTGGAGATAATTTTTCTCCTGTCTATTCAAGAACATTAAACTTCAGAAGATGTATATCTCAATGAATTAACCTTTAAACTAGAAAAACTGAGATGCAGTACAAGGAATGGGCAAAAAGTCATTATTGTGGAAAAAAATGTGCTCCTGTAAATAAACCAGTGATGAGTTTGGATAACTTCAAAAACCAACACAATGGTTCTGTTGGTTTGGACTGGTTTAGTGCTCAAATAATTTTTTCTGCTGTTGCTCTGGATCAATGAAAGCATCAATAAATGTTCCATTTATGTTTCCAAACTCCCTGCACTTTATTTGTTCAGCAGTGTTTGTTCAATACCAACAACATTGTGATGAGTTTTAAATAGTTTTTATCAAAATCGCATTAACACAAAAAGACAGAATGGAATTTTAAGTGCCTTCCACTTGTCATTTTGATACATTGCAGTTAATAGATACAATTTATACATACATATATGTTACATAGAAATGTAACAGTAAGCAATATAAAACTTTAATAGATAAACTATTAGATTGTTTCCATTTTTTTGCCGTTGTGCTTATGACTGAAGTGAGGAATTTGACATCCACAGTATATTGAACATTAGGTGTATTGTTTTAAATGCATAAGTCAAAAAATACGTACATTAATTCATTTGCTGGCATTTTTGTAGGGCATTTTTATAGCCACGCTTGTCTGGTTGATAAGAAAGACTTATGTGGTTTATGAAAAAAATTAGTTGACACATTAATGTGTGTGACTTCCTTTCTTGCGAGATGCGTAGAACTACTCTGTTTGATTTTAATATGGATTACTATTCTTCATATATGCTGACTGAACTGACTGTTTTTCAGCGGGAACCTGAGGAAAACAAGATGGAAGGAAATTTACCCGTCCAAACAACCACTGACCGACCTGCAGCACTAATTAGAGGTACACTCACATAGCAGATATAGTTTTGGCAGGGAAGGGACTGCTCTTCATTTATTTGCTATTAACATATTTGCAAGTAATCTTAAATTTGGTGTCAGTGGTCTTATCTAATAGAAGCCGTAGGTCATACATGGCATAAGAACATCTCGAAGTCCAAGACACATTTATTATAGAGTTGAAACCAGATGTTTACATATCCTGTCTGAAAAGACAGAACCTTTTCTCTCTCTGTCTGATACTAAATCCAGTGAAACTTTCTGCTGTTTCTCTGCCTACAAAATGCCTATATGACTAAGATCAGAGCTTTTAATTGCCAAGTTGAATTTGTTATCCCGATATCACTTTCCAATTAATTTGGCTTTATGCTTTGAGTCGTTGTTTGAAAGCATAGCTCTTAAACAGTAAACTTAATGTTGCATAACTTAGTACAAAGTGCTATTTTAACCATATTCTGATAAGTTTTCTCTGCCTCGCCAACTTATATCAAGCAGTTACCTCAAGTTTTTTTTTCTAACTCTAAACACTTAATTTTATTTAAAAACAAAACAAAAAATTCTATCTTGCTGTCTAATCCAAATGTTACAGCATGGAAATCATGATTATTTTATGCAAATGCATCACAGTTATCAGTTTATAGATTGTGGCAGTGGTAGTTTGAATATATTCTGTCATTTCATCACACTTTCCAACACACAAGGATTTTACTATTCCTAACTTACACACAAAAAAAAGGAAATGTTTAGTCTGATTTAATGTCAGACAGTGAGAAAAAAAGGTTTTTGAAATGCTTGTAAATGTTTAGTTTCAGTTGTACCTCCAATTTCCTTGGCATTTACTTTCTGCTTAGACATTTCTGTCCCGTTTTAAAGTTGTGATTATTTAGTGAACTATTCTCACTATAGCATAAAGCAGATATCTGGTCATCTGCACAACCACATTGCCTTTTTAGAAGTAATAAGTAGCTCTCCAAAGAGGAAGGGTTTATTCCATCTGTGCAGGATCTGTGCTGGAGTCCAGATTTGACTCCTCCTTCCTCTCTGCCTCTCCCCCTCCCCCATTCTGTGTAAAAACAAATCTACTTTTCTGCTCTGAAAGTATTGAGTCAACAAATGTCACTACAGCCTGGCAGGGGCTTCTGGGAAGGAGGTGGGGTCTCCTTTTTAAGCCTGAAGCTCAGCAAAAAGCAGATTATTTTCAGAGAAGGGACACCTGTTAGTTGAAAAGGAATTTAATGGTAAAATGAAAGTGTTATCCAACTCTTTTTGGGTGTTTGATCTACTACATGAAACCCTTGAGCTCTGTGTGAAACATGACACATCTCTCTCTCTCTATATATAAAAATATAGTTAAAGTTCATGCATGCTTGCATGAGATAGAGATCTCTCTTAAGCCCACGTGGCCACTGTCAACAGGGGGAGGAAGATTTTTGGCAGAGGTATGAGGCAAACTGTGCTTCCTGTGCACATGCTGCAGAGTTCGTCTAAATATGAGCCAGCAGTGTTCCAAAATAAGACACAGCCGCCTGAAATAAGTCCAAACCGGCTGTTTTTGATCGTAACTGTGAAGCCGTTCTTTTATACAAAATGGAAAGTCCTTTAACCTCTAACTGAAAAAAAACACAAAAAAAACAAAACCTCAAGATAGGCAATGAGAAAGGGAGGGAAAAAACCCTGAGTCACTTGGCTTCCTGTATGAGAAAAGGAAGGGGTGGAGGCAGCTTCTGCTCTGCCACAGTCAGACAGTTGGACCCATGCATATTGAACAAAAAGTGCACTGGTTGTGGGGGTGGAGTCTTGTAATCCAGAAATCCACTCCAGTGCTTCAGGGCAGCCATCAAAGTGTTCACTATTGTGTACGGCTGAGGAAGGAAGAAAAAAAAAAGAGGGAGCTGAGGGGAGGAAAGAAAACCTGTATCTTTGTGTGAGAAGGACTCAGCAGGAAAGTGTTTTTGTGAATTATTATTTTTTTTCTCTTTTCAGAGGTTGTTGCCACAGCCGGGCTTTTCTCCCAGAGCTACAGGAAGATCTTGTCCGCTTTTATATTTACCATAACTGCCTTACACTCGACTGACACACAAGTGTGCTCCTCCAGCCGGCAAAACAGCGACACCCGGGCTTCTCCTGATGATGAGAGCCAACGTCAGACTGGTTTCCATGAATATTGATGTGGAGCATAGACTGTTTCATAGAACAGAAGGAGGCAAGATGGCTGCCCTTTAGGATTTGTTAAAGAGGCGATCCAGACAATTTGCTGGAATTTCTACAAAGTGGAGGGACATAAACAGAAGGTAAGAACGTGCTCAGTTTGTTACTCCTCTTTTGACCCCGCTGTCTCTGTAACCTTCGGAGTATTTTTCTTTCATTTTGTGGTCAGGTGAGACAGAGCAGATGTCCCTCACCGTAAAAAAAAAAAAAAAAAAAAAAAAAAAAAAAACCAAAAAAAAAAGGAGGGGATATTAGATAAAGCTACTTCAACATGGCTGACAATTTTCTTTGTGGTTTTGCCAGCTGAATGTGAAGGCTGCTATCTTGTTTCCTTGCCGTGCTTATTTTAAATGGATCATAGACAATGCTGTACAGTTTGTTCAGGAGTTTTTCTTCAGGCATAATTTAAATACCACTGTGCCTCTTCCTTTTCGTCATAAAGCCACTCTCTGGTCTAACTCGTTTGAAATAGATGCATGTTCATCTATATGAGTTTTTAGTATAGATCTGCTATTCAATGAGTATGTTTTGAAAATTAAAAAAATAATAATATTTATGTGTAATTAATGGCTATTACAGACAAACAATATTTTATTATTTAGTCTATCTAAAATCTTTTTGTGTCAAATCTGCTGCTTTGCATCTCCTGTGGGATTGTAAATGGTAGAGTAAAAGTCCAACCTGGACTCGTCCAGCACAGGGGGGGATAGCGCCTGCACAGCAGCAGAGCAGAAATAGCTCCTGGCTTTGTGTGTATCTCTGTGAATCAGCTTTCGTTGCTTTCACCACTGAATGACACGCACACACACATACACACACAGAGACACAAAGGCAAATCCCAAGGAGAGGCAAAAACAGAGAACTATGGTGGTGGAAGGCAGTAAGAGAAGGTCAGACAGCGCTGAATCAAATGAAACCCAATCTTACAACACCATTAACTGAAGCAGAACACCAATGTTAATTTTGAAGCAGAGGTTTTACTTAAAAAACACTTGTCTCAGGAGAACAATAAGCAGTAACAACACTAGAAATAACATTTTCGGACTGCTCATGAAAGCATACTCTTATGCATTAAAAGCAGGTAAATATTACAACAGGGATACTGTTCTCAGGACATTTTCCCCTATGCCCCATTAAAAGAGGAACTGCTTTCATTGTATAAAAATATGTTTGAAATAGGAATCAGCGAACCAATTATCTACATTTTCTGATCAGTTCAAATGTGTGGAAGCATAGCGATGCTAACCCAGAAAGAAGATATTGCTCTATCTCAGCATAATGGAAAAAGTTTGAATAATATTACTATCATTCTTTTCATCTTAGAACAATTAATATCTTGTTATTGCACTGCTGAAGGAATATATTTTGAAAACCTTAAAATATATAATGTGGTAGCAATACCATGTCCACAATTTGCTACATTATGTTATCGTAAGTGTCATTGTTTAAGCCCTGAAGAGTGGGACAGCCCTTACTTTTTTTTTTTTTTTTACGTATGAGGTTCTGTCAATATAAATATTTCACTACAACAACACAATTATTTGTATTATTTGATTTGTTTATGGGTACAAAATGTAAGTTGAAAGAAGTGCTTGGGTACAAAATGAGGGTCTGAATTTCCTGAAGGGACACACTGACCCAGAGAACCAGTTCTTCATGCTGAGAAAAATCCCTTTGTCATTTTTATAAATCATCTCACTATTTCTGATCAAAGTTAAAACTGACTGCTGTGGCATGTTTCATGCTGGCCATTAGTTCCCTGTCAGGGAAACATTTCATATCCTCTTTTTTTTTTTTTTAAGGTTTCATTGGCTCTAGTGGCCTTTATTTGATAGTTAGTTGACAGGAAAGTGGGTCATGAGAGAAGGGGGAAGACATGTGGCAAAGGCCACCAGGCCGGGAATCAAACCTGTGACAGCCATGTCGAGGACTGAGGCCTCCATATGTGGACTGTGCTTAACCCCTGCGCCACCACGGCACACCCAACATTTCACATCCTCTTTGACAAAGGATGAGTCAAAATAATTTTCTGTCGCCTCCTATTTACGGGGGTGACAGAAGGAAAAGGCTATTTCCTTCTTAAAACTTCTTAAAATAATAGTTATTTTAGTTTGACTAGAGATAACAGTCTGCAGCATTTTATGAGTGATAACTGACTGTAATGGAAATAGGGTGTAATGCATATTCCGAAAATATACAATTAAAATTAAAATATGCATTCCATTCTACTATTCTTGTGACTATATATCTGTATAAATAATGAATGAAATCTTTTGTAAATCTAACCATATTTTTTGTTTTGTAATATAAAGAATCCATGCCAGTCAGTCTACAAATGGAAGAAATCATTGGGTACAAAATTAGAGTCTGAAACTTCATAATAGATTCTACAATATAAAAAGTAGGCCTGAAGTAAAATTTATTTCCAGTTGAAAAATGAGGACTCAAATGCGTATTAATCCTACACCTATTTCACTCATCCGGGATATACCTCATGAATAAACAGATAAACTATGTATAATTATGCAATGGTGTCACTAGACTGCACAAGATGGTTTGTTTAAAACTATGGTAATGTTTTAACCATTGTCAGCAAATATCTAATTGGTTGTTAGTTTTTCCTCGAATTCACTAACAGCTTCTTGAAGATTAACATCTAAATGGTACATTTGAATAAAACTGATCTCCTACAGGGTTTGTGTATCGGGCTTGTGTATTCTACTGCTTGCAGTTGTAATACAGCTGCAGTTCAGCCCCAGGTCACAACAATATAAAAACCTGTCTGTAAGGTGGTTGACCTTTATTGTAACCCAACAGTGTGCTGCCAACGGGAGCAGCAAAGTGCTTGACATAGAAGATCTCTGTGACACACTTGGAGGTGGATGGATACAGAGGGCACTGAAGAAGAAAGAAGGGCATTGAGTTCAAAACAAAGTCAGCTGCTTTTTGTTTCCAAGCTTTTATGAGAGAAGCTGATGGCGGTTTATTACAACTATCCTCCTAATGTTCCCTCAACCTCATAAATCTTTTTCCCCCCAAAGCAAACAATGTATCTTTTACCACAAAAATCATTTTGTGAGCAAGTACCTGTCTCTAATCACTACAAAGATGTAGTGCAACAAATTTCCTTGTGGTGAAATCACCGAATCCACTTAGCAAACACGGTCACTGAGCATGCAGTGTCAACACATGTGCCTAAGTTTGTTATATATGGTAGTATTTAACTGTGTTGTGACTGCATAACTTCAGGTGATGGATCTGTGCATGTACATACTTGCATAAATAACAGTACTCCCCTTCCCCCTTTAACAATATTGGCAATGACGTCCATTACAGTGGATTTTATAAGTCACATTGTTGGAATTAAACTGCTCTCAGACATCAGCAAGTGTTAATTTTCTCGTCTTCGGTGGCACTGAATGAACAGCTTGCAAATGCCAATTATGACCTAAAGAACATTACAGCAGGGCTTTTTGCAAGAGGAATTTTCATTGGTCTCTGCATGCCTGCTTTGACATAAATAGCTGAAAGGGCAGCAGCATTAATAGGGTTACAGGGGGCTGAGTGGGGATGGGCAACATAGATCAATCACATGCGCAGAGCTCATCTCATCTATCTGCACCTACAGATAAAGCTGTGCAGTTGGATAGTTTCTTCGTCATGGCAGTAAGCCCCTTTAAGTCACTCCTAGGGCAAAGACAATATCACCTTTGGGGAGAATGTCCAGTTGCCATAGTGCAGTACAACAATGCTGTTTGGCTACAATACCCAAGCCGTTGCCCATGCCCTCACCTTTGACCCTGTTCCGTCCAGCCCAAGTATCATTTTTCCAACCTAGGGGGTGGCTGCAGCAGAAGCGACACAGAAGCATGCTCAGTGTTGTTGGGTTAGACATTTTAGAATGCACTGTTTATAGATGGCAAGACAAAATGGCGAGTACAAAGAGTTGTATTGATTGCTGCAATATTGATTTCTGTTGTCTGCCAATGGAGGGTTTGTTTTCTATGGACTTCAAGAGAATAAAAGGAAAACTCAGTCTCGTGCAAGTGCAAAAGAATCACTCTCAGACACATTATTTAGACATTTTGCACATAATTTAAAATAAACATTGCACAGGACTTAAACTTTCCAAGCTTCTGCTAAGGAAAAGAAAAGGCCATTTCCTTTTTAAAACTGACCACCTTATGCATCAAACACGGCTGAAGAGTTCATGTAAAGATTTGCCTTAGTTTTACCAACTTACCTAATCTACTAGAGGTTACTTTAAGATGTCCAGCTGTTGTTTTTTTGTTAATTTACTGTAGGCTCTTGAATATTTCAAAATATCAGATAAACCTTGTGATCCTAGCCTGTCGCAGGCTTGTTAGTCAGTCTTTCATAAGAGATACAAAAGTGTGGCCGGTAATTGCTACACCACATGCAATCGTAAATGTGCACCACGGTCTTCCTCTTCCATGATGTCCTGCGCCGCTATCTGAGCCAAAGCGTAATTATGGGCCGAGCATGATAAGGCCTTGTTTGAGGAGTTCTTGGGCTGCGGGGAGCGTTGCTGGCTCTGTGAACATGTATTGATGTCAGGGTTTACCTCAAGGGTGAGACAGCGTGGGCAGCGACTCAAAACCTTCTGCCACGTGAGAATACGCACATGGCTTTTCTGTTTACAAACAGTATCCTTGGCATTCTGCTGAGAGGAAAGCAAGCGAGGTGTTACGTAATCGCCATAAAGCAAATAGCATCCCTTCCTGCTTCTCGCCAAGCCGATCCTCCTACGCTTGGACAATCAGCTTCGGTTGTTGCTTTCGCCGGTTTAAGCTGCGAGAAGCTAAGACCCACAGTAAAAGCCCAGTTATGTTATAAAGCTGTAAGCAGGTATTTTCTCACGTTCCTTATTGGTGCTGTCCAAGGCCTAATTAACAGCAGCAGGTTAGAAGCTTAACAAGCCATTTCCCATGTTGCTCTAAATTTAAAGGATTGTGTTTTCGTTAAAAGGAACAAGGAATTGTAATACTGACAGATTTTCTTTTTTTTTTTCAGATTAGAAACAAAGCTAGTACTAACTTCCCACCAACAAGACCAAAAAATA